ATTAGTTGATGAATGCACATCAACTAATATGGCAGTACATTAAACGTTATGTGCCTATGGTTTAATAAAAATAAAAATGCTTATTAAAAAAGTTAAAATTTGAAAAAATAAACTCTATTAAGAAACATAAAACATAGTTGTTAATCTTATTATTTTTGCATAAAATAAAATTTAAGTAATTTTAAATGTGTTCAACAAATACTCTTTAAAAAAAATTGTTCTTGATAAAACATGAATAAAAGTATGAACGTTTTTTAGTCGCAACAAATGCTTAGTTTTTTTCTATCAAACTTTGAATTATTTAAATTAAATTTGTTTTAAAAATCTTTTTAATCATCTTTCCTCCACAAATGTGCTTTGCTGAGGATGTATTTCCTCCTTTTTTAAAGGCAGTCATTACTTTTTATTTCTTAAAATCGCAAACATCAGGCAGTTTCTGTTATATAATTAGTGTCTGTATTCGGTAATGCCGACCTTACTGCTGACCTAAAAGTGTTTGAGGTCGGCAAAAGAATGCTGGCCTCATTTCTATGTTTTATGGTAAAATATTTGTATTAAATTTTTTTGGCCAACCTGATGCCGACCTCTGAAAGATTCAGGTCAGCAAATTATTGTTGACCTCATTTTTCCTAATTCCAAGGGTTGATATACATATATTATATATATATATATATATATATATATATATATATATATATATATATATATATATATATATATATATATATATATATATATATATATATATATATATAAATATATATATATATATATATATACATGTATATATATATATATATATATATATATATATATATATATATATATATACATATATATATATATATAGATCTTCACAAGGTTTTCGCGGATGGCGGATGTATAACAGATAATCAAAAAAAGATAAAAAAGAGAAAAGCAGTAAATTATTTGAATAAAAAAAAGAGAATTTATAAATTTAATTGAATACTAAGGTATTTAATATTAATGCCAATAATATAAATTTAAAAAAGTGATAAGAATTTGAGCGGCGAAATACCTACTATAAAGAAACAAAAAGTATTAAAGAAATTCGAATTTTTAAAAAGAACTTTTTTTGTTAGTAACTTTTAAAATCATTTGAAAGAAAAAATCACATCTGAAAGAAAGTCTGAAAGAAGTATAAAGTTTGAAAGATAGAAGTTTAAAGTTGGAAAGAAGTTTAAAAAGCATTATTTTTTGCGCTAATATTTGAAATTGTATTGTATTAACTTTAACTTTTTTTTTCTTTTTTATCTTTTTTAGTTTATTCATTTCCTTTTCTTTTTTTTACTGATATATTTTTTACTTATACATATTATAAATTATTTTATTAATAGTTTTATTATCATACTTTTTATTATTGAGCGTTGATTATAATTACAGTATTCATATTTTTATTTTTATTACATATTGTTACTGCTGCTATTTGTATTACTGTCACTATTATTATTATTGTCGTGATTATTATTATTCTTGTATTCATTATTTTATTATTAGTATTTATTAGTATTCGTATTGCCAATATTATTATCTCAATTATCATCATTTTTATATTTTAGTATATTCTCTACTGCTATTTTATTGTTGTTTAAGTTACTAATAATCTAATTTATATCTATAGTTTACTTTATAAACTAATTTCTACTATAATGTCTCAACTTTGTAAAATTTGTAATAAACATATTCGTGCTCATCATCTTTCGTTTCAATGTAAACACTGTTTAAATTCATTCCATAATAAATGTTCTCTGAGTAAAATTGATTTTAGATCATCAATAAACTCTTACATCAATTTTTGGCTTTGTATAACATGCCATATTAGTATCTTTCCTTTTTGTTCTATATCGGATAATGAGCTTCGCCTTCAATCGCCAATTGATAGTATACTACATCTCAATAAACTCCAAAATGACCTTTCACTCTTTCCTACCTCTAAAAAATCTAATATTTTCAATCAACTTAATAACTTTTTCTCTTATCAACTAAATAATAACGATGATGATGATATGAACGTAGTTGACAATCCAATTAATTGTAAATATATAGATATTAAAATTTTACTCTTCAAAAATCACAAATAATTGTTTTTCTCTTCTTCATTTGAACATTGCTTCATTAGTTAAACATTTTGATGAATTAAATTCACTTCTTCATCTAATTAGTTATGAATTCAGCATTATCGAAATAAGGGAATCCAAGCTGAATTATGATTTACTACCGACAGTTCCTATAAATCTTAATGGATATGTTTATGAACATACTCCAACTAAAACATCATTTGGAGGAGCTTTAATTTATATTTCTGAAACACTAATTTATAAACCTAGAAATGATTTATTTATGTATATACCCCAATTCCTAGAGTTTGTTGAAATTTTTTTTTTTTTTTTTTTATTTGCATTCACTCCCAACAAGGCTGCAAGCAACCACTATTAAGTTGGGAGTTACTAGGAAAAAAAAGAACAGAGTTATAGAGCAAGGAAACGGTTGACAGAAGACTTGAAAAGTTGAAGGTTGTATGAGTCAGGAAAACATGAAGATGGGAGAGAGTTCCAAAGGATTGAAGTGAGAAAGTTTTTAGAGCATGCAGGGACAGATACAGTAAACGAATGAGACTTAGCTGAATGACGAGTAAAATGAGAATGAATTTTAGTTGATGTAACTAGAGATGATAACTCCTTTGAGCAGTGACCATGATAGTATTTGTAGAAAAGAGAAAGAGATGCAACTTTACGATGATGGGAAAGAGTTTCAAGCTTAGCAGATAGTCCAGGTCCAACAACATTTACAATGTGATTTTGGACCTTGTCAAGAAGAGAAAGTGAATCGTTAGAAGAACCAGCCCAAATATGACAACAATATTCCATACAGGGACGAATAAGAGATTTGTAGAGGTAGAGAATGGAATTAGAAGTAAGGAAATGGCAAGCACGATAAAGAGAAGCAACCTTAGCAGAAGCTAATTTAGCAATCAATTGTATATATGGTTTCCATGAAAGGTCAGTAGTAAGCGATAATCCAAGAAGACGTAAAGAGGACGACTCAGTAAGAGGATTGCCATTCATTAATATAGGAATGTTGACCATATTACGGTAGTTGTTTGCAGTAAGCAACTGGGTTTTTTTAGAGTTGAAATTCACAAGCCACTGTGAACCCCAATCTATTACTGAAGTGAGATCGGATTCAAGATCAGCTGCTTGTTCTAGGCGATCGAATAGAGAACACTTTTTGTCAAGACAGGAGTATAAAGTTGAGTCATCAGCAAAAAGAGCTACTTTAGATGAAAGGTTGTCAGGAAGATCGTTTATGTAGATAAGAAACAAAACAGGGCCCAGGATGGAACCTTGGGGAACCCCAGAAGTTACTGGAAATAAAGAAGAGTATTGGCCTTCAAGGATGACTTTAATAAACCGGTTAGAAAGAAATGATTTGATCATCTCAAAAACTTTCTCAGAAACACCATATGAAACAAGCTTATGAAGAAGACCAGCATGCCAAACTTTGTCAAAAGCTTTAGATATGTCGAGAGCAATGGCCCTAGCCTCACCGCCTCCATCTAATGCACGATAAAATCTTTCAGTTACAGCAGTTAGCAAGTCGGCCGTAGAGCGAGAGTATCGAAAACCGTATTGATTGTCTGACAGTAGTTTATTTGACTCAAGATGAGATGTGAGGAATTTGTTGATCAAAGACTCAAAGACCTTGCTAATAACAGAAAGAAGACTGATCGGACGATAATTGGAGGGGTCAGAATTTTCTCCAGAGTTTTTGAATATTGGAACTACAGATGCCATTTTCCAACAAGCAGGAAAACAAGACTCAGTCAAACACTTGTTAAATAGTTTAGAGAGAATTGAAGAAAGTTCTGGAGAACAATTCTGCAAGACTGTGACAGGAATGTTGTCTGGACCACAAGCTGTAGACGAGTTTAATTGAGATATGACTTTTGCAATAGAAGCCGGAGTGATTTGAATGTCTAACCATGGGTCAACCTGTTTGACTAGAATGGAAGGAAGAGAATGTCCATAAGATTCAAGAGTGGATTATCTTCCCTAAAAAGTCTAATATCATAGTAGTAATTATCTAGTAAAAAGTCTAATATCATAGTAGTAATTATCTTCCCTAAAAAGTCTAATATCATAGTAGGATGTATCTATCGCCATTCTAATATGGATATTGATGAATTTAATTTTTCATACCTAACTGTTTTATTTGAAAAACTTTCAAGAATAAAACCATCTTTTTAATGGGTGACTTAAATATATATCTTATTAAAGCAAACTCAGAAAGTTCCATTGCGGAGTAATTAAACACCATTGCCTCTAAAAACTTTCTTCCTTTTATATCCTTACCATCTAGAATTACAAATCACTCAAGAACTTTAATTGATAATATATTTTCTTACTCAATTTCTCTAAAGATATTTTCTCCGGCAATCTAACTTTTAGAATATCGGATCATTTGCCACAGTTTCTATTTTATCCATCTTTTAAAAGCAAAAATAATTATTTTTGTAAAAGCAATATTTTCCTTCGAAATTTTTAGAAACTTGATAGTAATCAATTCAAAAACGATTTCTTACAGATAAACTGGAATAAAGAAATTAATTATTTTAATGGTAATACAAACAAATTATATGAAGACTTTTTCTGTAGCTCTAACTCTCTTTTAGACAAACATGCACCACTAAAAAAACTAAGTAATCATGGCTTAACTCGGAGCCTTAAACCATGGATTACTCCAGCAATCTTAACCTCAATAAAAAAACGCAATATGATATTTAAAAAATTTCTCAAAACAAAAAATCTAATTATTAAACTAAATCTTGAAAAAACTTACAAAACCTTTAAAAATTTACTTGTAACACTTATTCGACGCAGCAAAAAAAAAACATTTTTCCAATTATTTTTCTTCTAACAGCAATAATTTGAGGGCTACGTGAAAGGGCATTAGAAAGTTTTTGAATATTCATTCGGAAGATATCTCATACCCATCTTGTATATCTTCAAATAACACCATTATACATGATCCAAACAAAATATCGGAAAAATTCCACTTGTTCTTCATTTCAATACCTGACGAATTGCAAAAAAACATTGACTCATCCCATACTAACTTCTATAACTATTTAAAAACACCAAACCTTGAATCTATATTCATTAAACCTACTGATGAAAATGAAATTTTATATATTGTTCTTTATCTAAATGATGGCAAGGCTTCTGGTCCATACAGCATTCCAACCTTTATTCTTAAATTTCTTGCTTGGGATATTTCTCCATTACTTTCTAAACTATTTAACCTCTCATTCGTTACAGGTATATTTCCTAACATTTTCAAAACAGCATTTGTTAAACCAATTCATAAAAAGGGCTCAAAACTTGACTGTAATAACTACAGACCAATATCATTATTATCTAATATCAGCAAAATTCTTGCAAAACTAATGTATTCTCGTATCTACCACTTTCTTAATAATTTTAAGTGCTTATATGGCCGCCAGCCTGGTTTTTGTTTAAAACATTCTACTTCCCATGCTCTTATTAGCATTACTGAAATGATTCGTGGTGCAATCAATAGTGGTTCATTTGCTTGTGGTGTCTTTATTGATTTCCAAAAAGCTCTTGACACGGTTGACCACAAGATTTTAATTAAAAAGTTATTCTACTATGGTATACAGGGTATCGTTAACAATTAGTTTTCATCATATATTGAAAATCGTAGCCAGTTTGTCTCCATTGACGGGTTTGAATCCTCCAAAAAATTTATCAAATATGGTGTCCCCCAAGGTTCTGTTCTTGGGCCTTTGCTGTTTTTAAAATATATAAACGACTTGTCTCACTCTATTAGCAATTCCACTATTCACCATTTTGCTGATGATACCAATGTTCTATGCATAGATAAATCACTTACTCAGCTTTGTAAAAAAGTTAATTCAGACCTCCATCATTTGTGTCTTTGGTTAAATAGTAATCGTATCTTTCTAAATATCAACAAAACTGAATTCATTATTTTTCAGCCTCCAAAAAAAATAATTAGTAATGATAATGTTAAAATTAAAATTAACGGTAAAAGAATCTTTCCTTCTGTATTTATAAAATATCTCGAAGTATTTCTTGACAAAAACCTATCTTGGAATTATCAAATGATTCAATTAAATAAAAAACTCTCTCGAGCCAATAGTATGTTATCTTTAATACGACACTATGTTTCTAAACATAATCTAGTATCAATTTACTATTTCATGTTCTCATCCCATCTAAGCTATTGTTGCGTTGTTTGGGGGCAACAAGGAAGTTTTCTATTAAATCGTATAAACAGTTTGCAACGTGCCTCCATAAGAATTATGACATTTTCTCCTATTCAATCTAATATCCAACAAAGGTTTTCTGAATTAAAAATCTTACAATTTCAAGATCTTATAAAGCTTTACAACTGTCTTTTTGTGTTTGATTTCCTCCAAAATAATCTGCCGGGTTCGTTTAACAATTTTTCCATTAAAGCAAGTGATACACATAAATACTATACTCGTATTACTATAAATTGTAATTTGCACCCTTCTTTTTTCAATACTGTCAAGTATGGCAAGCTCTCCATAAAACATCAATGTATTTCTCACTTGAACCAATTAATACCTTTCATTAAAAAAAAATTTTTAACTAAATACCCTTTTGTTACTAACTCTTTTCTTCTCAATAGAAACCTAATTAAAAATTTTTTATGTATATCTAAAGAATATTAATCCTATCTTTTATTATTATTCCTTCAATATATTATTTAATTAATTACACTTATTTTTATTTTTTTTAATTTTTTTTTATTGTTTTTATTCTTTACATTGTTACTACTACTATTTTTATTATTGTTATTACTGTTATTATTTATATATCTTTGTTTTTGTTGCCTTAATATTATTACCTATAATGATAGTCAAAGTAGTTCAGTAGATGCAGTAGCTTTATCATTATTGTTATAACTATTCTTTAAATTGTTTATTTTATAATTATTAACTATACTATAATTATCTTACTATTATATCATTTATAATTCTTTTTACGTTGTTATATTGGAGTTATTATTTTTTATATTATAATTATTCATATTATTGTTACTATTATTATTTTTATAAATATTATTACTTTTAACTTTCTTTTCCTCTTTTTTTTTTAATCTTCTTTATTGTTATTGTTGCTTATCTTTCTTTCCTTTCTTCTTTTTTCCTTTTTTTTTAGGTGTCACTCCATTGACTAGTTTTCAACTATATGAGTGACACCTAACCATATTTATGTAAATTTATAATTAATCATTGTAAAATTTCATTATTTATGGTTAGATAAATAGAGAATATATATATATATTATATATATATATATATATATATATATATATATATATATATATATATATATATATATATATATATATATATAACCCTCGGAATTAGGGATTTGGCAATGCCAGCCTAACTGCTGACCTGAATGTGTTATATATTCTATGTTATATGGTAAGACCATTGTATCAAATAATTTTTGCTGTCCTGATGCCGACCTCTAAAAGATTGAGGTCGGCAAATCATTGCTGACCTCATATTTTCTAATTCCAAGGGTTGTATATATATATATATATATACAGTCCTCAGAATTTAAAAAAATGAGGTCGGCAATATTTTACGGACCTTAATCTGTTAGAGGGCAGCATCAAATCAACAAAAAAAATTTTGGTATAAAGGTTTTACCATAAAACATAGAAACGAGGTCAGCAATTTTTTACCGACCTATAACATTTCAAGGCAGCAGTTATGTTGGCATTGCCGAATGTCAACCCTAACTGCAAGGGCTCCATATATATATATATATATATATATATATATATATATATATATATATATATATATATATATATATATATATATATATATATATATATATATATATATATATATATATATATATGTATATATATTTGCATGCTATTTATAATATGTGATCTTGTTTATTGAATTTTAGTTTTAAAATATCTAGAAATGAAGAGTATAAATGGTATTAACACTTTGTAGTACTATGGAAAAGCATACAATAAATGAAAAAAGAAATTCATTAAAGCGCTCTGGCTTTCGCTCCATTGAAACAATTGGTCGATTAGTTATTTCCATTATTATACGATTTTGGAAGGCATGCAGTGTTGCTATGCTATTCATTTTTCTACTATACTGGTTATATGGAGGAATAATTACAGTTTTTTTACTTAGTGCTGCTTTTATTGGTGCATTTTATCACTATCAAGATGCTTTATTATATTTTCCTGATCAACCTGAAAACTCAAGAATCTATGTACAATCTCCAAGATACTTAGGAGTGCCTTATGAAAACTTATATATTAAAACACGTGACGGAATAACTTTAAATGCTATATTTTTAAAGCAAAGTGGTAACAGATTAAACATAGCTCCAACAATTATTATGCTTCATGGAAATGCTGGTAATATTGGCCATAGATTTTCATTAGCTCAACTTTTATATATGTATACTGGTAGCAATATATTCTTACTTGATTATAGAGGCTATGGCAAGAGTGATGGAATGCCTAGTGAAAAAGGTATGTTATCTATTAATTTAAAATTTTAATAATTATTTCTGATTAAAAACTATTATTTTAACTATATTTAATAATTTTAAGTAAACTCTGTTATACTTCAATCAGGAATGTTAAGTTCCATCGATTTTTCATGACTCCAGACTATGAACTCAAAATTCATTGACTCTGACTTTGAATTCTGGAATATTTTTTTAGTCATTCCTTCTTGGAAATCTTTAGCTAAGTCACTGTCTTTCCTGTCTAGTTCACATTTTTTTGAATTCCAATCGAAAAGAAATTTGCCTGCAATGATATTTTCATACTGAAGACGAATAGTAAGATTGCATGCCATACACAAGACATCTTGCAATTCTTCTCAGACTCCCCAAATATATAGTTGCACATTAAATTCTTTAGGAGCTTTTTTTTGCATGTTCAGATTTTGAATTAATGGTATAATCTAGAAAAACATAAAAATTTATTGAAGATATATACAAAATTATTAACTACTTTGTAGAAAGGATTGACAAAGAATTATTTACATAAACAAAAATTTAAAATTTGTTAAATAATGAAAATGTAATTAACATTCAAATAATTAGATTTGTATTATGTTGGAAAAAAATAAGAATAAAAATAGTTTTAGTTTTATAAACTTTAATCAAAACTTATAATTCAAGTTATAACTTACCTTGATTAGCCTCTCAATCATATTGAACGGGCTGGACCAATGGTAGTCTGATCTAATATTGGCATTAGATATGGAGACCAAGGTATCTGAAGAAGTCAATCCACTTAAAGTTGCAGTTTTGACAACTTTTTTTGACAACTTCTCTTGACAACTTCTCTTGCATGACTAGTGAGATTTTTTTACCTCTTCAATGCATCATACATACAGTGGACAGCACATTTTTGAAGATGTATAACATTCATGCTACTGGCAACTCCACTTCCCAAGGCTGCTGTCACATTGTCCGCTGTAGAATGAGTATTCTCATCAAACTCATCAATTTCTACTGGAAAATCATGCACCAATTTTATGTTTACCGAAATAAATAAATAATTTTAATTATTAGTATTTTCAATATATATTATATACATTACCAATTTTAAATCCATTTAAAATTTTTATTTGTATAATGAAAATGTCTGTAGATCCATCTGATGCATAGTTAATGGCCATTACTGGTCAAGATTGTCGCAAGTGAATAAATGTTGTTGCAATTTATCGTGAGCATATAAGTTATTTTCTTTCTGTTACATATTCTACTAACAAAATTAATTATTTGTACAACAACTCACAAACCATAGTTAAAAAAATTGTTATCATGACTAGTTGTAAACTGATCACATAGTTAAAAAAAATTTTTGCAATATTTTTTCTGTTATTAATTCTAATGTTAAATTAAATCAAAAAAATTTAAGAAAATGCATTAAAATCAAAGTCCTTCCTTAAAAGGCATTGTTGCACTAATTTTTATTTATTTATTCATTGAGGTATTTTTTTTAGCTTTTTTGTGACCTAGATAGTACATTTTTTACGAATTATCTAGCTCATTTGTTTGACTTTATAGTGCAAAATTATAGACAAATTTGATTTTTATCAACTTGTCGTCCTGTTAACTGACACAATTTTTTTTATACTTTATTACATGTTACTGATTTGTTAGTTAAATTTAATAATTTTGTGTATCTAAACCCTTTTTACTTCAATTTTTTATTAGGCATTATTAAATAAAGAATTCGGCTTTTTGTTAGTAGAGTATACCAAAAATCAATGCCTTAAAGGGATCCCAAACTCCCAACAGATGTTGTGTTCATATTAAAGATAATGTTAAAAAAAAAGGTTTGAACCAAATTTTTTTGATTAAAAATAAATAATGAATGCATACCGTGAAAAAAAAATGTTGTTGTTTTTGCCGAAGCTCGTCTTCTCCAATATTTCAACTAATCGGAGTCTTCAAATTATGCGTCGCAATCTACAGACTTTGGCAATTCCTTTGAAGCGCGTTTAATTCATAAAAGTTTTAGTATTTGACGTCACGGTAGACTTTTAACAAAAGAAAAGTGTAATTAAACTAAGCTGCGTTTATGAATTGTTAACTTTTTTTATTATAAAATTTTTTTGATCACGCTGATTTAATTTAAATTGCTAAATTTGCTGAATTGGATACAGATAAAAAGGAAATACCATTTTATTTTACATTTGATTTTTGATAATGAAATTTTTAAAGTGTCAGCAACTCTATACCAATTAGAACCTGTTAAGATTATGAAAAAAAAGTGCAAGAATACACTAAACAATACAGTTGACAGTAGTATCAGATATGAAAATTCGTGAAAGGATTTGTGAGATCCTGATTTTGCATTAAAAGTACAATTAATTGCAACACAAGTCGGCATTAGAAATTTTGATTATAAGTTTACTGTTCAATATTTTATAACCATCAAATAAAAAACATAAAGTTTGTATATTTTCGCCCGTTTTATACAACTAATATTTAACAAAAATACGGACAAATTATTATTAAATAATGCAATAATTAACACATTAATTAAAGGCAATAATTCAAGATAGATGGTAATTTAAATTGTTAAAATGTCATAATTAAAAAACATATTATATTTGGTATTTCCAAATTTGTGTCGTAATTGGCATTTGTCTCTTAACATGAAAAATTAAAAATTTTTAAAAACACAATTAACAAATACAAATTTATTATTAAATTATTATTTCTTATTCAAAGAAAATTTACATCTAAAAAAAGAATGAGTGAAGCAAAAAAAATATATATTCTTTACAACTCTTACTCATTCAAAGTTTAATTGCGCGAAACTTTTCTTTCTCTTTTGTTCTACTCTTTTATAAAAAGAGCGCCCGATGAAATAAAAACTTTTCTTTTTTAACATATAGTTATAGTTTGAGATAAAATTAAATTAAATCACGTCAAATAAACAACATTAAAATTTAAATATTCCAAAAAAAAAAGTTTTTGCCTGACTGAACGCTTTTGACATTTACATTTTACAAAAGAGTTTTCGATTAACTGAATGCAATAAAAGTGAGCTGTGTAACGCTTCTTAACAAAGCCTGTCAAAGTTTTTTTTGGCAAATTTCTTTTTTTAGCAAATTTCAATGACTTCTCTCAATCTCTAAATATTTAAATAAAAAATTGTATTTTTGTTTAAACATTAAAACTTTTTAGTTTTTGTTTAGGAAGTATTTTGTTAAATATGTTTAAATGCTCATACAATTTTCTTATGTTCTAATTAATAATAAAAAATGCAAAAGACAGACTTTAAAAATATAGTTTTATTATTATTTTAGATAGTTTCTTTTCTTTTTATAAAATTCTTGAATTATACATATATATATAAAAACTAGAACTGCTAATAAAAAATTAATAGTCACCCTTGCGGGCAACTTAATTGTATCAAAGGATTATTTTTAGTCACCTTTCACAAAATTTGGTCGTCTGGTACCGTTGGACGACCACAAGTGTACACCTGTCTAATGTGAGCAGTGATGAATCCAGAATTTTTTGGTGTTTGAGATAGCTAACTTCCAGATATGAAGCAAACTTCAAACATTTGTATGTTTATACTTATGTCAAATAATGATGCTTTTCAAAAATTGTAATGATTGGAGACTTGGAACAAAAAAGCCCTTTAACTTCATTCTCCACCCAAATGTGAGAGGCAACAAGTTAATAAAATATTTTTTGTACTATTAACTAGACTTTTATTCATTGATAAATGTAAAGTTTCATAGTATTGAGAGATATACTATGAAACTTAAAGTTTATTAATTTATATAAGTCTAGTTGAGAATAGTACAAAAAATATTTTATCAACTTTTTAGGGATGGGGTGAAGCTATAGGGCTTTTTTGCTCAAATTACTAAATACACTCAAATTACTAAATACATTAATTACACTCTGTCTTTATTTTTCTTTCAATAGTTTTGACAAAATCAAAAATAAAATTAAACTTTTGAAAAGCTTTTCCTAAAAACTATTTTTATTGAAAAAAATACCAGTTTTTTGTTTTCACTGACAATCAGCAAATCAAATTTATTTGTATTACTTTTCAATAAATGTAAAATTAAAATATTATTTTCGGTTTTTAGCAATTATATTAGTTTTGTTTTGAAAAAAAAAAAAAAAAATAAAAGATAAAAAAATAAAATCAGTTAAACTTTAAAGACTTTTAAAGTTTAACTGATTTTTATACAAGTTTTATACAAGTTTTATAGAATTTCACATATAAAGTCAATGTCCTCCTTATTGTGTAGAAGAGTGCAGTATGTAAGCTAATTAAAATTAAGATTTCTACAGCATTCTTTTACATTAGGATGTTAGTCAGCTTATTGCATATTCTGTATCTTATTTATTTTTGTCTAAGCATTGTGAACATTATTTTTAGTTATATTTATAATGGTTTTCGTTTTGTCTGGTCTATTTATCACTTTGGCGTTGTTGTTTTTTCCTCTATTGAAATAGTGTATTTATTAATAATTAGTTTCAAGAATCGACTAATAGCGATTGTTAGTAATTAATAATGAACAATATTAATAAGTAATTAATAATAATTTAGTACTGCACTTAGGTTTTTGTCTTGAACTTAGTACTGCACTTCAGTTTTTGTATTAAATTTAGTATCAAACCTCAAATTTTGTTTTGGTTAAAATGATATATTACATACTAACAAAATTTGTATTCAAAAATAAGCTTTTTTTCGAACACTAAAAAAGGCATTTTAACTAAAAGTTCATTAGCTTGATTTAGGGATGAAGAGTCCCAAAAGGACTCCAGCTTTATAACTTTATTTTTTTATGGTGTCTAGTGTCCAGAAACTCTAAACAATTTGATTGGTTAATGATCTGCTATAAGAAAAAAAATTATGATATTTAATGACTTGGAAATTATTGTTTTTAAGCTCAGAGTCCTGGAGTCCTGGAATCCTTGCCGCTATTATACCTAAGGACTCTGGGTTCAAAAATTGATTGTTCTTCTGACCTATAAATCTTGATTTTTTCCCCATTAGTAGTTCATAAGCTTTTTTATATTTTTAATGCTCCTGGATACCAAAAACTAGATAGAAGTAATCTTTTTGTGACTTCCAAATCCTTTTTATGAGTCCCCATCCCTGGTTTGATTACCTCAAAATATGGAATAAAAAACATAAATGCATCATAAACACACACACAAAAAAAACAAAGTACACTAAATATTGTGATTGCAAATATTACTTACAAATTTAACTTACAAATATCATTGAAAGTTTTTTTTATTTATTTATAACATTTCTTAATATGTTTTGTATTAAAAAAAGTCAAGTAATTAGTATATTGAGACATTCTTTTATTATATATTTGATATTATATTATTTTGTATATTATATTTATAGAGACATTATATTATTAAATATTTGAAATTATATTTTTGTAGAGACATATTATTATCAAATATTTGAAATTATATATTTATTGAGACATATTATTAAATATTTGAAATTATATATTTATTGAGACATATTATTAAATATTTGAAATTATATATTTATGGAGACATGTTGTTAAATATTTAATATTATATATTTATGGAGACATTATATTATTAAATATTTGATATTATTTATTTATAGAGACATATTATTAAAAATTTGATATATATTGATTGAAGTAAAAATTTTAAATGATTGATGCCCAATTTGAGATGCAAAAAGTATTTGTTTAAATAAAAAAAAGTAGAGATGATGTGTGAAAGTTGTTTTTGTTTACTTTCAAAATAGCATATCAATTTAACAGTTGGTTATGATGACCTAAAAGTATCCGAGGTCAGCGTTTTTTACCAACCTTGTTTCTATGTTGTTATGGTGAATCCTTTGTGCTGAAAATGTTGTGCTGTTTAAGAACAGTTTAAGATTGACAGAAAATTGATGACTTTATCATTTATTTATATAATAAGTAAACAAAAACAACTTTCAGACATCATCTCTATTTATATTTAAACATAAAGATCTTTTGCATCTCAAATCGTGCATCAATCATTTGATATTATTACTTCAATCAATATACAGGATTTGAATTAGATGCTATAGCTGCAATTGAGTATCTTCTCTCTCACTCTGATATTGATCATAATAAACTTGTATTGTATGGATCATCACTTGGTGGTGCAGTAACATTTGCTGTAGCTTTTTATAAAAAATACATGAACTTACTTTTTGCAATTATTGTTGAAAATACATTTACAAGTATACCTGATATGGCGCGTCACTTGTTTATACTAGTGAACAAGTTACCATCTTGGTGTTACAAAAATAAGGTAATTAACAATTTCAACAAATTATTTTTAAAAGTTTTCTTTTGTATTTTATTTACCTTAATTAATGTTTTTAGTTTCCTTCAATAGACAGAGTTGCTGTTATAACTACTCCAACATTATTTCTTTCTGGACTTGCAGATCAACTTGTTCCTCCAAAGCAGATGGTACAGCTTTATAATGTAAGTTTACTTATTATATTTAATTAACATATCAATACTAAATTATATTTTCTTTCAAATATTTTTTTGAAATCTTTTGTTTTAATAACATATAAAACAGAGATAAAAAAAAAAGATTTAGTAATTTAAAAGTAATGGCCCTCAGAGTTAGATTATAACTTTTGAATCAGTTTATTACAATAATAACAATATTGATAACCATAACAAAGTTCATTCTCAATATGTTAATCATTATAAATAGATTTAATTAGAAATAACAGTTGCATGAAAATAAAAGAGGCATAGGTAGTTAGGCATGACTTATAACTGATAAGTTGGAATGAAAGCTTCTGTGTCTCCCCAAATTCAGGAGATTATGTAAGAGATGCAATTTTCAGCAGAAAGACAAAAGACCTTGACAAAGAAAGTTATTAAAATTGAAGTAAATTAAATTTCATGTTAAAGAAAATCAAATAAAAAACCTTATAAAAAATTTGTTATTATAATTTTTTTTTTTTTTTTTTTGTGTAAATTGTAAATTATTTTTTTTAAATGACACAATTCTAATTGTTTAATATTTTCTTTGCAGTCATCTGGAGCTTGTTTGAAGAGAATTGAGAGGTTTGATGCAGGCTCGCATAATGATACATGGCAGTGTAATGGATATATGGATTCTATTAACAATTTTTTAAATGAGGTAAACAATTTTTTTGCTATTGCTGTTGAAGAATTATTTTTTAATTTTTTTTTTCTGTACTGTTAACATTTATAATATTGAATTATCAATTAATATAGTTAATTTTATAGGATTGTTGTCATGACAATAGTTTGAAAAATTTATTTGTTGAAATAGATCAATAATCCCAAAAAATATTGAAAAATTGTACAAATAAAATGAAAGTATTATAAACAGAAGATATCAATTGTAAAGTTATAAATAATCATCATACTTAACCTCTTTATTTATTAACATAATTTTTATCTGACAGGAAAAGAGGCTGAAAATGCATTTAAAAAAGAGGCTGAAATTTTTTGTTCTTTTATTCACAATTTTCTTTGAGCCAAATAATGAGTGTAACTATATAAATATCCATTTATAAAATTTCCATAAATTGTAATGATTTCAAACAAAATGCAATACAGTCAATACCTGATAACTTGCACCAGGGCCTACTCAAATTGTATGGCCTGATTTGTTGCATTTTCCATAAAAAATTAGGAGACTTGTTAAAGTTAAGAGACGTGTTTGCACTATAAATGTTTTATTCTTATTTCATTAAAATGTTTAAATAGTAGTTATATTTTCTATGAGATTGTCTATTTTAAAAAATGCAAAAATATGCATCAAAGGACTAGACCGAGCTGTCAAGCCCGAGTGAAATAAGGAAAAAATTAGAAACAGAGAAAGGATAAAAAAATAGAATTAAAAAGATATTATGAACAGATGTTCAGAGCAAAATAAAGGTACTGAAGTAAAGTGTAAATTAAAAAAATAATAATGATAATCTAGACACCGCGCATGTAATAAAAATAATAAACTCAGATGCTAAATGGAAAATCATAACCAACACGCAAGGTATAAAAAATGAAGTTAAAATACTAAGTTAAACATAATATGCTCAGAGCAGGAAATGAGTATGGAATTCAATGATTACCAGGTTGACCCTCTAACCGATCAAGCTATTGATGTTCACATAGATACAAGATAATTTTATTTTTATTTATTTTATTTATTTATTTATTTAGCAACTTAATACTAGTTTAGTAACTTATAAAAAATAAATAATCCCCTTTACAAAATAAATGTTCACTATATAAGTTGGTTATTCTTTAGTGTTTGAAGCAGTTTTTTTTTGAATTTTTCGTAGTCCAGCTGAACAAATCCACCAGCTATTTCCTGGTATAGTTTCAAACCAAACACAAACAATGACTTCTGTCCTGCTCTATTGCATTGGCTGCTTTTATGAAAATAACTAGCTTGTTGATGTAACAATGTTGATGTAACTCGCTATTTTTTGAATAGAACAGTTTAAATATATCATTTACAGTCGATGTAACATTATGAATGAAACAGAGTGATTTAAAAATTATTCTGTTTTTTTACTGATCCAACCAAGCGAATTCAACATTTCTGTTTTATGAGCAGTGGATCCATTCGGAACTCCGTCTCGACGGATTTTTCTCGGTTTTTCGGAGTTTCGGAGTTCGAGACAAATCGAGAAACTTCGACGAAACTTCAACGAATTTTTCAGAAAATACCAATTTTTTATTCGTAAAATAATTGAATTCTTATTTTATTTCTACGTGGTTTTTACAATTGTAAATTGTAATTTTAAAAATTGTTTCAAATGTAAGTGTTCTCTTCGTTTAATAACAACACTAATATACATCGCAAAGCAATTGGTAATGCACAGTGGGCCAGGTGATGATGGTAAAAAAAACCTCAAAAAAAGTTTATTCTATCAAAACCATATATTAAAACATGCTCATACTTTTCCATTGTACTATTTCAAAAACTCTTTTGTGTATATTAGTATCTTTTTAGTATTAGTATTTTTTTAAATCCACAAAAATCAATTGCGGTATAATAAAATGTAATGCATAATAAAAAGCAAGAATTTTTTAATTTTTAAGCAAAGATATAATAAACAGTAACTTTTAAAATATTATGCGAATGTGATATTAGTTTATATATTTTAACTACTCAATAGTTTACCTTTACAAAAAAAAAGTTTAGTCAAGATCATTATTTATAATATAAACAAAGACTGGTCGTAAAATAACGAGGTAAGTTTTTAACATATAAAACATATAAAACTTTCATTTTATACAAGTAGTGTCGTATTTTGTATGATCAAAATAATTTTGTCCACCATAAGTCTAAAATCCGGCCCACTGAGCATTGTGGCAAAATTGTGCAATAAAATGTTATCAGTGAAAATAAATAATAATTATAATTAATGTTTAATTATACTTACCTATCAGAATAAATATCTTAATAACTTAAAATGTGATAACTTTTCACAATTAAAATAAAATTAAAAACAAATATGGGAGGTCATTATCAAATTGATAATTTTTCTTTCATAGAAAAAAATGGTTTCGGAAGCGTGGAAGTACTTTAATAAAGTTGTGGTAAATGATAAGAAGTATGGATATTGCAAAAAATGTCATAAAAGAATTGCTTGTCCAGAAAGCAGCACAAACGGCCTTATTGGACACGTCAAAAGTTGCGAGAAAATAGATTTGAAACCATTCAGTTCCAGACCAGTTTTGACTAAAATGTCATTAAACGATCTTCTTGCCAAGTTGACAGCTCTTGATGGGTATTCGATTAGGTCCATAACTCAATCTGAAACACTAAGAATGCTTTTTGAAAATTACGGGCATAGTTTGCCTAAGTCAGCGTCCGCAATTTCAGAAAAAATTAAGGTGTTTCATGCTGAAGCCAAATACTTAATGATCGCTGAATTGGCTGCATTGAAAGCAAAAGGAGAAAAATTTGGACTAACAGGTGACGAATGGTGTAGCAATAAAGGTAGAAGATACTACCATTTAAATGTTCATCACGACAGAACGTATTGTTTAGGAATGATGAGATTGCCATCTCCTAGTTCTACTGAAACATTAAACATTTTGATAATGGAAAAATTAAAAGAATTTGGTATAGATAGTGAAGATATTGCAGGTAAAACTACGGATGGCTGTAGTTGGATGGTGAAATTGGGTACCATATTTAAGTTTCCACATCAGATCTGCCAGAATCATTCAATTCATTTGAGTGTTTGTGATTTGATATACGCTAAAAAAGATTGTCGCAAAATTGTGAACAAAGAAACTGAATCGATTATTGAAACAGAAACAGAAACTGATGGAGAGTCTGAAGGAGAGTTTCTTATTGAATATTCGGAGAATGAGATTGAGTATGAAGAAAATATCGAAAAAAATCTACAGAAACTTCGAATACTAATTAAGTTTTTGAAATATTCATCGTTTCGATATGAAGTTCTTAAAAGAAAAATTCACGAAATATACGGATCTTCGCATGACAAAGGACTGTTGTTCGACAACCGAACAAGATGGAACAGTGTTTTTAAGATGATTAAAATATTTCTGGATTGCTTAGAAGCTGTAAAAAAAACACTCGAAGAGCTAAACTGCTTAAACATGTTAGCTGAAATTGACTTGGATTTCTTAAAATCGCTGTCTGACTTATTGGAAGTTGTTGCTGGCGCTGCAGTTCGCTTGGAAAAACCAAATACAACAATTTTGGAGTGTGACATTATTATGGAAACGTTAGTAAGGAAATTGAAGGTTGCAGAAACTGACATCAGTTCTAATTTTGCAGAGACCTTAATCTCCAGATATGAAGATCGTAAAAACGTTATGTTGGTATCATTGAGTCGTTATTTGCACAATCCCGATTTTTTTTAAAATAAAAACCACACATTTTTTTACGCTTCCAAAAAAGATATTCAAATTTATGCTTCAAAATTATTTGATCAACTATTTGCAACAAAAGAAAATAGTCTCCAATCAAAATCAGATGATCACGCTAAAAACAAACAAGAAGAACCATCACAATCGACATCTTTTTTCTCCGAAATTCAAGAAGTTCTAATTCAAAATCAATCAGCAGCTAAAAAACCAAAAAAAGTCAAGACCTTCACCGATCAGTTGAAAGAATATGAAGCAACTGGTGTGAAATCAGAAACAGTTTTAAAATTTGAACTAGCCATCCACAGAATTCAAGCAACTTCCTCGGAAGCAGAAAGAGTTTTCTCCTCGTCTTCCAGATTTGTCACAAAGTTTCGTAGTTCGCTTTCTGATGAAATGATAGATGTTTTGATCTTTTTAAAATATTATTTAAAAAGATCTTCAGTATAAATACTTTTTTTTTCAAATTTTTTTTTTAATTTTTACTATAGGTGCCCCAACAAGTCTTTATTGCATAGCAACGCAGAAGGGCATTTAACTGAAAGTTCACGCCTTCTTCCTAACCGATGCCGGTTAGAAAGCCAATTATTAGATATAACTTGTTCGTTAAAAAATTGTGATAAAAAAAATATTTATGTACTAAGAAATATAAAAATATAAATTTTTTAAAATTTTATTATGAATTATAAATCGAAATATTTAAAATTAAAAAATAAAAATACAAGAACAATGTTTAATTATCAAATAGAGAGTTTAATTTTTTTATCAAATAGATAGTTTAATTTTTATAACAAAATATTATCCAAACTCCGATTTTTTCTCGACTCCGACGGAGTTTTTTCTCGATTTCTCTCGACTCCGTTTTTTCTCGATTTTGGATCCTTTGTTTATGAGTTAACCAGTGACATTTTAATATAATTCTCATTGCTTTGTTTTGAAGTTTTTCTAGGATATTTAAGTTATTTGTGACATCAAGAAAATTAGAAGCACAGTATTCATAGTGGGAGCAATTATAGTTTGAAAGATTATCTTTTTGGTCCAATGAGTTAAGTATTTGCTTATTCTACCAAGATCCAGTTTTCTTTGCAATTTTATTAGAGATATACTTGATATGTTCAGTAAAATTAAGTTGGTAATCAATAATAATCCCTAGATATTTCACGCTATCACTAAATTCAATGACCACATCATCCAATATCACTTTTATGTTATTGTTATGATTTATTAAACTATTTTTTCTTTTTTTTTGAATTAACAATA